TGCTTTTTTAGCTTTTCAAAGAGTTCTGAGGGTTAAAACTAATCATTTGAAATCCCAGGAGAAGAATGAAAGAGGAGGGATTATTGTGTGGTCATCCCCCTGGGAGTGATTTCTCACTTTCTCTCTCACTGTCTTTCTCTAGCGAGTACACATGCCCTATGGTAAAAACCTTAAAAAATAAAAAATAAAAATAAAAACTTGGTCATTTGATAGAATGCAGGTCAGCCATGCCTAAGTCAGATCTCAACAGGTTTATATTCTAGCTTTGAGGACTAGACTTGAGAGAAGATCAAGGATAATTTATATGTGTGTGTGTTTTTCACCATTTTTTTCAGATTATTATTATTAGTTCTAATTATTTATTTTTATTATTTTTTAAACATCAATCACTATGTATCATTTAGCTTGTAAAGAGAATTTACCCAACATGAAATACTTCTCAGACCAGTCCAGTTGAGAAGAGTATACATGTTATCATCAGCAGGCAGTAAACCATGTCTGTGTCCCACTAATGTCATGCCTCTCTATTTGTTCTCTTGCTGTCCTTCTCTATACTCTTTTAAAGTAAAATTTTATAAATGTGGCTATGTGATTGCAGCACGACCATGACCTGTTGGGAGATGCTTTCTCCCTATCCTTCTCTGTTTCTCTATCTCTCTCTAGTGAGTGAACTCACCTGGAAAAAAAACAGTGGTGGGACTTTTAGGAAGCAAGCAGGGCTTGAGGGCTCTGCCCTAATGAATAGATGAAGGTTATTATCACAGTCTCTTTAGTGAAAGGGGGGATGGAGAGAGAAAAAATGTTTCAGAAGAAAATTACAGTGCACTTGTCAATAGACTCTAGCTTTGTCCATATTTTTAGTTTAAGATATTTTGTGAATCAATAAAATGTGAGAAAAAAGTTTAATATGGAAAGGAGGTAGGGGAAATGGGAAGGAAAAAACAAGTAAAAATATGCTTGATTGACCAAAAAAAATGAGAAGCTATTTGCTGATGATAAGGTGTAGAGTAGTATCTTTGTCTTCACTGATATACATGGTATTTGTGCTGGAAAAAGAAATGTTAAACACTGTAAAGATATGTGATTAAATGTACATAAAGAAAGAAAGGGAAAAAAGGTTATTATCACAGGCATGGGTTCCCTATAAACAAAGGAGTTTGGCCCCCTTTTGCCCACTCTCTCTCTCTCTCACCCTCTCTTTGTCCTTCTACCACAAACGACATACAAAGAAAGTCCTCACCACACGCTGGTCGCTCGATCTTAAACTTCCCAGCCCCCATAGCTGTGCGCCGACAAATTTCCATTCATTATAAACTATCCTGTCTGTAATAGTATGTTACAACACAAAACAGATTAAGACAAATATAAAATGAACA